AAGTTTTGATATTTCATACATAAAATATTAACTGAATTATCTATGTATACAGTATAGTTACAGTTGCTTAAGTTTCAGTAGATTACAGATGTAAACTGTAATTTGTACAAATAATTTCAGTTCTTTACTCTTAGATTGGGTTTAGCATTGTATTTTTAATGCAAGATTTTTTTTATTGAACTTTTTAGGTTGCACAATATGTTTATTCTAGTAATGATGTATTGACCAGGCATGAATTAGATAAGGAAATACCATCAATTTATTGCTGATTATTTTGGTTTCTGTAACTAAAGTAAAGGTAGACTTTCTTTAGTTGAAGTATTTAAGTTTCTTTAAAAAATTATAAAATATATTACTCTTTACATTTGATTGGTATAATGGAATGCATGTGGTATGATAAATAATTATGGAACTGTCCTTGCACATTTTGTATTTTGTTTTTAATTGAAGCAGCTGGTGAGCATGTGGTGCTTACCTGGCTCTCCCACCCTGAACTAAGTTGTGATGTCAATTATAATTGTCAAAAGAGACAGTAAAAGATGCAAGCAGTGATGCAGTTTTTGTTATTTAAATAGGGGCTAATTGTAAAGGGAAGGTCAAAGAAGCTAATTCATAATTACAGGAGCTGATGAAGATGTTTAAAGAAACTTAATTCTGTTAAGACTTAATTGTACAGTTTAGGTCATAAGTAGGTTACAGGAGCTGGAATGCAAGGCTTATGCTAACATATACAAGAATGAGCAGATTGGCTTGTTGGATTTGTGTAGGGTTGCCAATTATGAAGTAGGACTTTTTTTGTAAGGGGCCATCCATAAAGGATGTCACACGATTTAGGCCACTTTTTGACCTCCCCTTGCCACACCTTGTCAAATGGGCAGCCCTTAACAGAAGTAAAACACCTCAACAGCAGTTGGTAGTAAAACATAAACACATTTTATCTTTAAATAGGACTGACCTGCTTTTGTTGGCAACCTATACTTGTGGGATCAGTATGATGGGAAAATGAAGGTTTTTGAAATGGATGGCTTATGCTTAAATAAGGTAGTAGCTGTTTTTTTTTCTTGCAGTGGCTAATAATTCAGCTATAAGATTGTTATGTATTTTTATAAAGTTTAGCTTGGTATGGATGGGATAGCCTTAATGGACCAACAGTCCCCTTGTGCTTAAATGTTCTTCAATAAAATGAAAATGACTTGAACATTAATAAGAACTAATAGTTGCAGAAATATATTATTTTTTTAATAAATTATCTTTACTACATAAATTAACATTTGGTGGCCTTTCCTCCTTCTCAAGTTTAAACAAGATTTATTTTTGATTACACTCCTTTAAAGTTTAGTTATTGTCTATCTGTCCAGACACTTTTCAAACAGCTTGTTTTGGAAACCAATAGAATACATAAGTATAAGGAAAAGGGTAGATGATAAACATTTAGCCTTTCATAAGAGAATGTTTGCCACTTTTTATAGTATTTTATTTGATATGTGAAATCCTCAGCCACACCAGTGTTGTTGATAATGTCTATTGATGAATAATTTTTGTTAACAACTTTAGAGTAACCACTTTTAAGGGAAGGTAAAATGAAAGAATACAAGAAAAGACGATGGCCAGAAAACCATTTAGCCCATCAAACATTTTTCACCCCACCCCAAAAAAACAACAGCAACAAAAAAACAAACAAATAAATATTTCTCTATTTAAATCTCTAGAACAATTTAAGTATAGTCCTTCATGACCATAAAGAAAAAAAGTCTTGAAAAGTCTACATCTTGGGTTTCCAAAAGCTTATACTTATTACTCGTAAATTCAAGTTTGTACGAGAAACATTTTCATTCCACTCTTCAAGTGGATAACCCATAAGAAGAATATCTAATCAGCAAGCATTTTTGAACAGTAAGACTAACCCTTAATGACTTCAAGCTAACTGGACCAATAAGAGTTTCTAATTAAAAAATAGAGCACATAAAATCTTTTCAATTACACTTTGTTGTACTCCTCTTCCAGTAATGTTTTTTCCTCATTATTGAAACTTACCAGGGTATATAATGTATAAGGAAAAAAAAAAAAGTTGTGGAAATGCTAATATTAAACTTAAAGGAAGAAAACCAAATGCAGTTACAACATGAAAAAATCTGAAAATACAATGATAGAGCTGAAATTTCGATTACATTCTTTCCTCTAAGTAGATAAATTATTTCTGTGCATTTTTCAGTTTGGATGATATGATTAAAAATGTACATGTATTGTCACACCTGTTACTCTAAGATAAATGATGGCTCAGTATAACAATGTAGACTTATTCCTTAGTTGATAAATATATTTAATGAAAAACATTTTTTTCTTACACATTATTTCATTCACAAACTTTCATGATTATAATTAAAGCAACTTTTTTTAAGGGTTTTACTCTGTGAAGTGTATTACAATGTATTAATTAAGAATACTTAAAAAATTAGACCAAATGATATATAATAGTTACTGTAATAAAAAAAAAAATAATTGTATATATTAGACAACAAAACTTAGCAAAACAGTTTACTAACCAAGGTTTAAAATAATTATATGTTGAAAAATATTGAAACTGACCAAAGCACCTAAGATAAAAACTATATATATATATATATATATCACTTTACTGCATTACTTTAACTTTTTCTTGCAGTTTATTAACAAAGTAATCCATAGTCAAGATTTTAAAAGGTTAGAGTACCTTGTATTAGTGTTTTGATTGTTTTTACTCAATCTTTTCATCTTAGCTATTAAATGTATATTTGCGAATTTCTAAGAAATTTAACATATTTAATATCTACTGTATCTTTCCATTGTTAACATTTACAGTGTTTAATAATCCTTGTTATTCATCCTTTTGTTTGAGTAAAGTTTATGCATTTTGTTATTAAATACATTGTAAGTAGTTTTTACCTGATTGCTTCAAAATCTTGGTTTTTAAAAAAGAAAAACTAATTAATAGGAATTCCATCAAAATATCATTATTTAAAGTAGATGGTGCTGTTATCTGTGAAATTTCCAAAAGGACTATGCAATCTGGTTAAAGGAACACAAAATTTAAGGGTTAAAATTGTTCTACCCCATCTATGCAAATTGGTCTTACATTGCATCTTAAGTATACATAGATTTGTATGCATACTTTTCTTTCCCTAGAAATTATGCATGAGTAATAAAAATAGTTATGAAGCCCAATCTATCATTTGATTCACCACATGTCACTGAGTTATGCTAGTTTTAAATGCTAATAAAACTAGTTGAATTTTATCATATTAGTAATGTTACAATTGCTATTGATAAGTGTGGTGTACAAGAGTTTTGTTACATGTACAAGTAAACCTGTACATTTTACAAAATTAGTTTTAAGTGTTGAAAAATCCATGTGTACTTGAAGGAAATTCATGTTAAAGTGTACACAAGTTTGTTTTTAGAAAATATATATACATCAGTGTGCATAACTATAGGAGGTTTAAAAATAAATATTACTTTATACTGTTAATTTTGTAAGTTATTTACACCTGTGTTTGTAGTGGAAATAAGAGTATACAAAAGTTTAAATGACAGATGTGTTTCCTTTGAGGTCATCCTTTCATTCACCATGACAATCAACCAGAGTAATAAAAACAAAACTAAATATAGCCATTCACCTTTATTGTACAATTAAGTTTGAAGTATATTGGGTATGAAGATCAAGAATAATTGTAAAGGCTAATTTTGAATTGATGAGACAGGAATTGATTGGGATGCTTGGTTAAATGGAGATATTTGTCAGATGTGGGAGGTTATAAAAGTAAAATGCTAAATGTTCAATATAAGTTTGTTCCACAGATCAAAAATATATATTGGCTGAAAGTAACAGAACTGTGTGGCTCACTAGAATTATTAGGAAGAAAATTAAAAATAAACATTACAGATTTAAAAAACTTTTAAGTTAACTATTGTAATGGAAGATTATTGAAAATTTAGAGAGTTGGAAAGGATATTAGAAAATCAAAAATGGCATACGAAGTAAAAGTTAATTGAATGTGTTGGTGTAACAGCAAGGTTTTTTTTAAAAATATTAAAGGTAAGCATAGTATTAAAATGGGAATTGAGCACTTGAGGGATGCTGAAGGAAGGGTTATTGTGGAAGTTTATGGGATGGTTGAGCTGCTAAATTTTTCTTCAGTTTTCACAAGAGAATATGTGAATATTATTCCAGATCTTTAGAAATTACTGGTGGGAAATATTTGTGCTTCTTGACCCTCAAATTTTATGTTACATTTATCATGTCATTGTAACATTTCCAATCTTTTCATTCCACCACTGAAATATAATCACCTATAAACAGATTATTCTACATGTATAATAATTTAATCACTTGAATAAAACCACCTGCAATTCTCTGCTTAAAAAAAGTGACTTATTTAAGTGTCAGGTTATAAATTTGTTTCTTAACCAAGAATTTTAAAGCTGGTCTTTGAACTCTCCAACATTTAGGTATCCTCCTATGAATGATATTGCACCAATTTCATAATCTTGTTATTATTATTTTTTTTGTTATGTTGACATTAGATTTCATGATAACCTTATTGCTAACAGTCACTCTCAGATTTTGTTTCATAGAGAATGCCTGTACTTTTAATCAAATCATAATTTCTGCTTAAAACCTTGGGATGCTTGAAAGGAGATTGTTTTCATTTAATTCGAAGGATACACAGCTTCAAATTTCTAAAAGAGATATCTAACTCTAATAGGGTTGAAACTGGTCATAAAAACACTGATGTTATTTTGCAACTTCATGCCCTCCATTCTTCAGATGGTGATTGATTATTCAGAGTTTTTGGATTACTACCACTTTATAACTTTATTATGTGAGACATACATTACTACATAGATAATTCGAATTCAATTATTCACATACCATTATTTTCAAATTAAATTGAGAAAAAGTACTTAGTGATTAAAATTGTGCTGTTTTGTAGTAAATTTGTATTTTGTTTCTATACATGTAGGTGGTGCAATGGGTTCAAGAGACTAGACCTGAAATCATTAGATGATGGAACTTGTCAGTCAGCCAACCTCAGAGACAAGCAGTGACAATGAAGAAATAAATAAGATATTTCCAAAATGTCGAATCAAGTCTGGTGCAGAAGTAAATAATGATGTTAACCAAAATCCATTGTCTCAAGAGAGTACGTCATGCTCCCCATCTGATCTTGAGAAACTGAACTGTGAGACAAGTATGGAAGTGAAAAATGGTCAACAGTTAATGCTACAAGGATTTGATCTGAATCATGTTCTGTTAGCTAGCAGAGCTAAAGAAAGAAGAGATGATGATTCAGTTTTTAGTGGACATAATTCGTGTGAATCTTCTCTTCATAATGATGATAGTGAGAAATTCATGCAAATTGTTGATGAAAAAAAAGAACACTTTGATGTCTATGATGAAGAATTTGATGTAGGGTTTTCTGTAGGTCAAAAATCAGAATATGCTCTTCGTGAAAGTCGAATAGAAATTGCAGGCGGAAGAGAGATATTTTCTAAAAGTCGAAGCAGGCCATCTAAAAAAAGATACAGTGATGAAGTGGTTTATCATCCTTTGAATAACTATAGTGGTCAGGCATCTGAGACCAAATCTCATAGTGGAGAGTTCCTATATGATGAAAGACTTGATAAATACACTTTCTTACCATGTGCTTACAGGAAATCTGACCAAAGTTCTAAAAGAATGGAAACTCTTGATATGGATCATGATGAAAACCATACTCTTAATAAGAAAGATAAACTAAAACTGACAGACAAATGGCTTCAAGGACCTACTGGAAATAGGAAAGTTTCAATATCCAGATTACTGAATGACAATTGTGAGACACCAACAAATGATACATTATCCTCTGGTCATTTGGTTTATGAAGCAACTCTTCAAAATGCTTCCATTGTGTACGATGACATTGGTGATATTACAGATAGACAAAAACTGAATAAGCGACAATTCTCAGGAACAAAGTCTAATACATCTGACAAGGTTTTTGCAGATATGACACAGATGAAACAGTTACGTAACAATAGGAGTCAGCTTCCTAATTCAGAAAGCTCAGTGTATTTTTACTGTGATTCTAATGTCACTTCAGACTTGCCTTCCCAAAGTGATAAGAAAGAATCACCTGAATTAAGTATGGAGGAGATGGATACAGACTCTGAACCCAATTCTCCAGAAAAACAAGATATTGCAAGAGTAATAGGAAATGTTCCAATAGCACAGTATGAAGGTTCTCCTAGACGCTATGGTCCAAGGCCAGGATTTCCTCAAAGAGTAGTAACAGAGCTCCATGAAGAAGCTTATCAAAATAAAAATGATAGTAAAAATGAACATTTTAAGTTGTGTGTGGATGTTAAAAGCAATATTAGTAATCATGCTTATCAAGAGAATTCAAAGTTCCCTTTGTCCTATGAATCTCCTGATAAGGTACATGTAGAAAGATATAAGTCTGAAAATAACTTTCATTGTGATGTGACAAACAGTATCAGTTCTCATTCTGCCAAAACTCTAAGGTCAGAAGACTTTGATCATGACATTACCAGGGATCTAGATAACCAAAGTCCTTCTCTACCAGTGTCTGGTATTGTGTTTGATGATTTAGATTATAAACTTTATCGTGTTAGTTCTGGAAATAAATACATAGGCAAACGGCTGGCCTTGTCTTGTGCAGCAGAAACCCATGATAGTCCAAAACGAATGGATACATATGGAAGTGAAACAGAAGTAAGTCTCAAAAATGGGGAGGAAGGCAATCAGATAGAAGCAGATAGCAGTGAGCAAACAGCTTGTTTATCTAATGAACAAGAGCTAATGCTGCTTCATGAAAGGGTACATCAGCATACTCTTCAGGTGGAGATGTCTGAGCAAGACAGGGATTCTGTTAGCACTTATCCAGGGACTGAAGATTTAGGGGAAACTGAAATAGGGGAACAAGTAGATCATACACGTAACTTCACTCTTTCACCAGAAACTACTGACTGTGAAAGCAATGACGTGGAGAGTGAGGTTTCTGTTGATGGGAGTCAGAAATCAGGAAATAGGTTAACTAGTAGTATGCCAGTTTTAGAAGATGGTCTTTCTAGTCATAGCAGTGATGGAGATGTTTTTGATCAAAACTTAAGTGGTGAAGAGATTGATACAGATGGGTGGTCTCAAGATCGATCACAGTATGGTGATAACCCCACTTTATTGTTAATGAAAAAACAAATCAATGAAATAGAAGAGGAATTAGCTCTTCGGTCTCAAAAGAAGGATTTTTTGATGAAAGTCAGCCAAAAAGATATTGAAGAATATGTACAAAGACACAGTATGTTACATCATTCTCCATTAAATGAAGCTGATCTCACATTGTTTGATACTTTGGGTGAGTACTCTAGGTGAAGCATAATACATTTTATTAGTAATATTCTTTGTATAACTATTAGTATTTTAGCAGTTATAAGAATAAAAACATTTAGATAAATAAGGTAGAAAAATAGTCTTATGAGGATTAAAGGTATTAGATATTATATCAGCCTACTTTGTGTATTTTCAAAGTGTTTGCATGTGTCACAAGTTACACAAATTCCTCTGGTCCAAATATGTGTGTATATTACTTTCAGTAATAACATGTTCTGAAAGTACAAAAGCCAGCAGTTAAAATCATCTTTTTGTTAGTGCATACTGTGACAGAATTTTTAGTTTTAAAAAATTCATTCTATGCTTAATTGTTGGTGTATTGTGTCATAATTGTATAAAGTATGTGAAATGTGTAATGTAATATTTTTATCCTGATAATGTGTTATGTCATAGTGAATTGTATTTTTAGTAATTAAATATTAAAGTTTTTAACTTAGCCAATTTTTATGACTAATCAGTATCTATGTTGTGTCTGGATAACTTATCAGCTCAACTGTTATTCAATTACAAAAAATGTGCTTGATATATGATGTTTCCTGACTCAATGAATTCGGTATTTTGGAATTCAGTGAATTGCAGCTGCCTATTGCCTTACATCTTAATTTACTTCATATTTGGTTTTTACTGACAGTTATTGCTGATGCAACTTCATAAAATTGATACAAAAATTTGGCCTTTAATTTTAAGAGCCAAGTGATACCATACATGAGTAGTTATTATGTACCTCAAAACTGTTTTAGTTGAGCCATTAAGCATGATCATCTCACGGTACATTTTTTTTTCTCTTCCTTGAATACAATACTGTACATGGGCTGAATTCACACCCTTTGTTTAACTTTGAGGCTTAAAATATAATTGCAAAACTCGTTCATTTACATTCCCACACTTACTTCCATAAACAAAAAACTAAAAAAAATTGTAGTTTTCCCATTATTTGTAATTAGTTGAGTCATAAACTTCATGCAGAATAAATATGGATAAAAACTTATTAATTATTCTTGCTTAGACCTTGGAAAAGAAGTTTTGTTTGTGGTAACCTAACTAACATTACAGGTTTTACTTCTTTTCTTGAAAAAATGTCCAGTGAACATATTTATCAGTTTTGTTATTTGTGTGAGCAAGATTCATAATGAAACTTAACACAGAATGCAACTTTTATTTGAACTAACATTGAAATTATGTCAGGTAAAAGCTGGTCGTGTAGTAATCATAATATATTTATATTAACGAACTAATATTAAAGTATAGTTGTATTTTATTCTTTCACTATTATGCAAGTTTTTGCTAATATGACTTTGTGGATAATACCATGTATTTTGCTTTCTAGTATTTTTTGTATAAATTTCATGATTTTGTTTTTCTAAGACAGAATTTGGAATAGTTTTTTAAAGTTTATTGATGGGAATTATGTTAGTATAATTTTTGAGTTACAGTTCTTAAAAATATCACTGACAATTCTCTTGAGTTGTTTAAAGTAAGTTGAAACATCCAGTGATCTTTATACTACTAATAAGAGCAGTCTCATTATGTTTTAAACTTGTCTCACATAAGTTCATTCAGCCACTTGTATGTTAATTGAGCAAGTGAAATTCAATAGTAACTTGCTTGAATGAACAAGTAGCTTTCAAAGCTAATGTCAAGGTAATAAAACTCAAAATAAATTGAAAGTAACTTGAGTCTTGATTTGATAGAATACATGCAAAACATTCTCTATCCTGAACCACCTTAAAAAAGCAGAAACAACACTCCAAACCTTCCTTTTCAACAGTTAAGACCACCCAAACATTGATAATAACCAAAATAAGTGATTTCACAATTGCTGGACAAAGTCGAAATTAGCCCACTTGTTCATATTATTGTTTCACAGGCCTACAGCAGATATACTATATGAAATGCTGTGAATGTCCATGCCTATTTAAAATATTGATCATTTTTAATTTAAAGTTAACTTACATGGTTATTAATACATAATAGATGCAATGTTGTTATGAGTGGTTGCCTTTGTACTTGATTCTTGTTAAACATGTTTACATGAAACCTCAGGCACATAGCCACTTGGCTCAGTAAATAATGCTTGGATGGAAAAAAAAAGCCCAATGCAGCGGTAAACTGTTGAAAAACATGTAACATTCAACTGAAGCATATACACATGTAGCTTAAAATTTATTCTCCATAAATGGACATAAAGATAACTTAAGAAACTAGATTAGTAAAGACTGTTAATTTAAAAATGGGGGAATAGGGATAATAAAAAACATACAGAAACAAATTAATCAAAATGCAAAGATTATATCTTCAAGACTTCAACTAGAGACTTAAGAAAAATAATGAAAGTGGGCTGGAAATAGTGTCTGCAGTATTTTCTCAACCTATAAATCCCTATTTTGACTTCACTAAAATTGATAAGTAGTGTAGACAAGGAGTCAAAAGAGGGATTTGTAGCTTTAGAAAATAATGTTGACTATTTCTAGCCTTGTTTGTTTACTTTTTTTTAGAGTCTCTAGTTGTAGGCTTGAAGATATAATCTTTGCATTTTGATTCAACTTGTTTCTGTACATTTTTGATGCTACCTATTCCCCCTTTTCAGTTAACAATGTTTACTAATCTTGTTTAGATAATATATGCTACAGTACAATATAATAAACTACCTACTACCCTAATTTTTCCTGGCACTGCTACCAGTTAGTGGTTAAAAGTTATAAGGGTTATTTGATTGTTGATATCAACTTACTCAACTTAAGCTTTAACTACTTGATTAGATAATGTTGGAAATATGAAGGGTCTATATACTTTTTCTAATATTTTCATTACTTTGTATTTTAGTTAGAACTTAACTATGTTTTCATGTTATAGTTTAATGAAGGCTTGAGTTTAGCTGAAAATTTAAATTTTTTTAAAGCTTGAACTAGAATGAAAATTAGCAAAGCTTGCACATATGTAAATTTAACTAAAACATTTTAAGACAGTTTAGATAAAGCAAAAGTTATGAAGCTCTTCTTGTTTATAATTGCTTATTTAAACAAGAACACTTAAGAGTAGATTAGGAAGTGCCACCTTTCAGTTTAATTGTACTTTCATGAAAAAAGAATTAGAATGTCAAAAAGTAATAAATGAATTATTGTAGTTCTATAACAGGTTGAATCTTTTGTAGTGTTACATTATCTTAAGTTTTCTGACATAAAATGACATTTGTCTTGTGTCATAAACTAAAATGCAACATTTATTACTTCCTTGTACAGTTTTACAGGTACAATGTAATATTAATGTTTTTAACCGTGCACTCTTTTGAAATAAAATTGATTATAATGTATCAAAATGCACAAAATTCATGTGAGCCAAATATCAAATGCTCCCAAAAATCACATGAGACACAAACATTTAAAAGAATGTGGCCAGTTGGCACAAAAAATATTGTGGAGATCATATGATACTAGATAAAACAACATTTTCATTTTTAACTAGTTATGAACTGAATATAAATCAAGATCTTGTTGTTTGTTTTTTTTACCAAGAATTTATGATTTTATGGCCCAAAACCATTGAAAATTAATGGATTTTTTTGGTTATGTTGTCTATTAGCTCATAGATTATTTGGCTGATTTCTAGTAAGTTGTCAAATCTATGCTGGGCATATACAGTAACTGAGTGCAATTTACAGACCATTATTCTGTTAAATAGCATATTTCACCCAATTCTAGTTATTAGTCATGAGGGGACCTGTATAGATATAAACCGCATTTATATCTTGATTATTAGTAGGGTTGTGTTTGAAGGTTTGTTTGCTAGCCAGTTTGAAAATAATTCTAAACATTCAAGCAGTGTAAGATTTAATTTGTCCTTGTTAAAAGAATCCATTTGACAATATTTGAATAACAGTCATACGTTAAATGTCTCTCACATGGAAAATTCAATCTTTTTAAGTTGTATAATACCCATTACTTAAAAGATGGTGCATTAAAATAAAAACACCCAATGTTTTATGTTGTGGTAGAATAAGTATTAAGATTAAAATAGATGCTAATAATTAACAGTAATTACTTATTATAATAGTTATTAGATATTTTATGTTAGTCAACAATTTTTTTGTTAAAAAGACTCACTGTTAATCTGTTTGGAGTAGTAAATATTAAATAAAAGCTCCATATAACATTTTAAAACCACATGAGAAAGTTTCATTTCATTTATATGGATTACCTGTATAATAAGTGTTTTCAATCAACCAGAAACTACTAGTTTGTCATCGAGAAATTATGCAAATTAGTACTATTGATGGTTTTGACCTTTATTTGGTAATGTTATCTGAACCTTCATTGGCCAAATGTACCTTTTGTTACAGCCATAATTATTAGTATAAGTAATCAGCAATTTATGCTTGTCACTTTCCAGTCTACTGTAAATAGATTTCTATAAACACACATCCTATATTGTTAATGATAACTTTAATGTACAGTATACCCTTGCTATAGAATAACTCGTTATACAGAAATCTGTGATAATGGAACTTATAGATTAGGAAATCAATTCATTATATGGGAGGATAAAAAAGTTTTTTTACAGAATTTTGAATCTGTTACTTAATATCATTTTACTAGCTGATAAAACTGTGCAATCCACAGTAAGAAGTGTTGCTGTAAAATTTTATTGTTGTTCTTGCTTCATGTGATTAGGATTTTAATCTTATTGCTTCACCTACATGGTTACAGATTGTAAATTGTCAATAATATTATTGAACCATTTTATTCTTGTTCTTTCTACACACAATTATAACATTCTTTTAATCTTGTATTTTCTGTTGTGCCTGATTATCATTATAGTAAATATAGGATTTGGCAACAAAAGGATTAACAATTGTGAATGTAAATATGTTTTTACCAAAATAACCTGACTTATAAACATCTCACTTAACATTGTTTCCATGTTGAAAGTAAATATAAAGAATGTGTAGATAGGCTGTAATTCCCATCA